TCTCATGGACGCTGGATGAGTATGATTTTTATTTTCACTTTGTTGATGTTGACACGCATTCTAAGTTTTAAATATGTTGTTGTTTTTCGTACATTTAATAGAACTAAAATGAAGACAAAGTTTATACCCTTTGAAATCATACTATATTCCATTAAATTTTCACCCTTAAAGTTTGACATTGTAACACACTAAATAATCATATATTGCAAAAATTAATATCTGCACATAAATTGAAATTGGGCATTATCCTATCGCGCATTACAATAACTAGTTTAATTATAAGCTTTCAATGCCCTTATTGTGTTGTTCCAAAAAAAATGCCCTTATTATGCTTAAATCTCCATTTAACAAGCATACCAATATGACTAACATTACATTATTTTGGTTTTGTCTTTACACTTCATTTCATTTTTTTGTAAAAAATACGAACATCAATTCGTTGATAAAAATTACTCCCTCCATCCCATAGCAATTGTCCCATTTTTTTCTTTTTCGTCTGTCTCATTGCATATTTGATAATATGTGTGTGGTTCTAATTCATTCTTAATTTATTCTTACTATATCAATTTATTATCAATCACGTAACTCTACTTTTTTAAAAATCGCAGCACTCTCCATTGTTCCAATCTTATGGGGGCGGAGGTAGTAGTTATTGATTACACTTGACTTAATTACTTGTAATTATGCTCAAGTTATAAAGTTCATTTGACCATTTTAGTGTAGAATTAAACAGGAACGTTTTTTTTTTTGAGTGTTGATATATTGTTGGAGGGTTAAATATGAACAAACAAAAGTAGCATGCAATGCCAAAAGGAAAACCAAAAAGTTTGAAAACAGAGTAGTATATTTAGAAATAAGTAATATTTAGTAGAAATATAATGTTAGGAAAAAATTTATCGTTTGAAAAAATTTCATTGTATTTTTCCAAAGGAGTTCAGGCCGGGCCACCAAATATTTGTCGACTCTATATATGAATAAAGCACAAAAAGAGTTCATCACGTTAATATACTTTGTAAATACTAGTAACACAAATATTAATGAACGTTTTGTGGTCGCTGAATTAGCATGTTTTTTTATTTGGACTAGTTTTCATCCCAGACCAGAATTAGACAAGTTACACACTATGAATCGGTCCAAGTAAAAACAAACACTAAGATATTAAACACAATCTATTATTTTCCGGAGGTTTTCTATGAAATTGATTCTGATCGAAGGCTATGAAAAAAAAACTAGATATTTTTTAAAATTCTAGCAGCTACTTGTTTTGGACTTTGGAGCATCCGATTTTTTTTTATCCCTAGTAGTCTAGTACTCGTAATATTCTTTTGCATGAATGTACAAGTAAATTGTAGAAGTGATTTAAACAAAAGCGAAGGGAATTACTCCGTAATACTTTTATTACAATGCATTTATACAACATACTTTATTTGTTTGTATTGTGTCTATAGTCAATGGTAATTCTTTTTTAGAGCATTTTGATTCTCTCTATCACATTATCACATATTTTTTTTTGTAAAGAGTATGGGAAAGGTCATGGGTAGTAGAACACTAGTACTTTAGTTCAACCAAAGAGTTAAGGAAAAAGTATAATTGCTCGTCTTAAAAGGAACACTGCATTTGTACTCTCAAGCTTGACAATTGCAGTTTCCTCCTCCATTTGTACCCATATCATAGATCTACTGCTTTATCAAGATCATATCTTCTTTAATTTTTTATAAAGGAAATGCCAACTATATCTCGCAACATCTCAATGCTAAAAATCGTGCCATTTTTTTACAGAAAAAGAAAATGGAACACTTATTGAAACCATAATTTCTATAGCTATTACAAACGATAAAACATAAAAATGCAAAAGCAAAAATAGAATAGTTGTCACTATTGATTATTCGACATATGCAAAATTGTATTATTATATACCATCTTACAAGGATACAGAATAATCACTAAAGTCATCGTCTCCTCCGACCTAGTAAGCGTTTTTCTTGAAGAGATGATTCAGACTTCTTAATTTTGCCAGCATAGAATGTCTTGCTATGTCTTTTTTGATAGCGCTAACTTAAGGAGGGGGTAGTGCACTAGTGCTTTCAGCCTTTCACTTTATACACATACATATTACTTAGCTCCTCCAAATCAGTTTATACCCCTCATTTCTCACCTTACATATTACTCAGTCCTGATCATATCCAGATGGAAGTCTGTGATCAACTGTGCAATGATGGGGGAAAGTCATTTCGGAAGAATGAATTGCAATGAAGTATATACATGCAAATTCTCTACGCCTATAATTCTAATGCCATATAATCACTACATAAAAAAGACAAGGTAACAAATCAAATAAATAAATAAATAAGATACGAAGTAGGAAAAATTAGAAAAAAATTACTTGATATCCTAGTAATATCACAATCTTTATCTAATTCCCTCATTTTCATTGTGCATTTAGGCTGTTTGTAACCATTGTGCACAGTCTCACTAGTTTGATCATTATTTTTCTCAAAAATCAAAGCCCCAAATCTCAGAAAGTTGCATGTCCAACATTGTCCCCTGAGATCTATGTTTTTTTTACACTAGACTGTTTCTGCACCTCTTCAAGCAACTACATAATTGAATTTGGTCTTAATAAAGATAAAATCTCATTCTTAAGAGTTTGTAACATGGAAGGAGTATTGTCTTTAACCATCTTCAAGTGTTCCACATCCAATAAGTCCTCTCCAGCATTAGTTAAAAATCTCAATATTGTGAGGTGGGAGTCCAGGGATGCAAAATCTCAATACTGCATCTGGCCCGGGATGATCTTGGCCAAGAACAGGTTTACCCCAGCGGAGTTCCCTCATCTGGGAGTTATGTCTCCCCTCCTCCCCATTGAGTATTTTCTTCCTCCATTTTTTAGCTCAAGTGTTATACTACGTACCTCATTGAGGCTTGACTTCATGTATATTACAAATATTCATATTTAAAAAAGCATTTAACCATACACTACATATGAAATACTTCGTATGTAGTTTTAAATCAGTGTTTTGATTGAATGGATAAGTTGTGGTTTTAATTAAGTCCTAAGTAAATATGGTTTACGGAGTGTTTGTAATTGCTTCTATTTTTAAAAAGTGTTTTTTAAAGTTATTTTGAAGAAAGTGCTTAACAGAAAGTAGGTATTGTAAAAACAATGTTTTTAAAAAAGTAAAAAGTATCAGTGTTTGGTAAAAAAAAGTATCATTATATTTGTACCATAGAAAAAGTGAAAATCATTTTATAGCACCCCTCCACCCACTTTTAAGCTTTTAACTTTAACTTTTAAGTGTTTAATTTAAGGAGGAATTATCACCTGAAAACACTATTTTCAAATTTTTTTAAATCAAAAATTGAAAAACATTTTTTTTAATTTTTTTTGCACACTCCATTAATTGTTGAACAATTAAATTGTTATTCTCGCTCAGCACAAACCTGAGCAAGAAACAATTTTTCTATGCTTGAAATTGTTGATGATGATACACTTACATTTTTCTAATAATTTTGAAGTATTTTAAGTACAGTTTAAAAATGAACTATTAAACTACTATAAAAGATCTCGTGCTATTCATTTATCAAATTAACTTTTAAAATGAAATTTCAGTTCATAATGATTATACTATTCCAACATATTTACATAAAATGAAGTGTGTGCCTAAACATAGAGGATTGAAGAAGAACAAATAAAGTACTTATGTTTATAGATATTTTTAAAATTTAAGTACATGAATATAGATAGGGGGGAAACTTGATCGACAAGGTTAATGATCTCATTCCTATGCAGAATAAATAAATTTTTTCTTGTAAAAAAAAAAAAATTTTGTGAAATGAAACAATGAAGAAAATAAAAAAATTGCATAATATATAAGTTGTCTACACGTAAGTTTTTAGTAATTTATATAGTTTGTGTGAATTAAATTTTAACATTTATTATTTATTTGCTACTATCTCGTGTAATATGATTTACAAATACGCAGATACGCTTATATAGTAACATTTATAATGTTTACATATTCCATCCCGTGTAACGCACATGTGAGATACTAATTTAGTTTAAATTTCATGATATTATAAAGAAATCCAGAAATATCAGAAAAAATTCGTAGTGTCAAGTTTTTGTCATTTTAAACCTCCGATTATTATTTTATTGACACTTTTAGCGGCCGTTTGGCAACACTGTTTCGGCTTATCAGGCTTATCAGCCAACTTTTTCACCAAACACGTAACTTTTACTTTCACGTGCTCAATTGTGTAATAAGCAGAAAAAGCAAGGTTGGAGTTACTTTTCTGGCTGTATTGGCTGAAGTTATTGTAGATGATCATTTTAGCTATTTTTACATATAATTTTTTCTTTTTTAGTAATGAAATATATTTTAAAAATAATATTTTCTCGAATCAACAAAATCAGCCAATGCAGCCACTTCAGCCAGAACTTTATGAAACAGCCAAAATCGGTTGTTTTGGCCGATTCAGCTGAAATTTATGAAGTTTTGGCTGAAGTGGCTGCATTGACTGATTCTGCTGATTTAAGAATAAATTATTTTTTAAATATATTTTATTAATAAAATAAAGAAAAAGTTATATGTAAAAAAAGCTAAAATGGCCATCTACAGTAACTTCAGCCAATACAGTCAGAAAAGTAGCTCCAACCTTACTTTTTCTGCTTATTACATAATTTAGAATGCGAAAGCAAAAATTAAATGTTTGATGAAAATGTTGTCTGATAAGCTTGATAAGCCGGAAAAAGTGTTGCTGAAGGGCTTCTTATACTTACTACTAGGTACGAACTACGAAGTACGGAGTACTCCCTCCATCCCTGAATTATCTTCAAACTTTCCTTTTTCGTCCGTACCAAAATTATCTCCTCTTTCCCCTTTTAGCAAATAATTTGTGGTTCACAACCATTCTTACACATTTCTCTCTCCTCTGCACAACTCTTTACCACACAAAACCCACTATCTTAATAAATGTGCCCACTGCCCAGCCGAAATGGGAGAAAGATTAGGGACGGAGGGAGTAGTATTTATCATGGGTGGATTACTAGTAATAATTTTGGAATTGCATTTCCGGCCCGATCCAGACCAATTTCGTTGGGCCTTAGCACACCTTTTATAGCCAACCGATTTGTAGTAGGCTCACGCTCAGCGTTTAGGGTTTTTTGCTGAATCACGCTTAGGGTTTTCATCTGCAAGAATGGCTGAGCAGGTTCTCTTCCCTTTCACCCAAGCTCAGATATGAACAATATATTTTCAAATCTCAATTGTGGTTTTATGTCATGTAATGGATTTGGTTTGTTTGGCAGACTGAGAAGGCTTTCTTGAAGCAGCCAGGAGTTTTTCTCAGGTACAGTAAATTTGTATATGCAAACACATTTGTTGGATTACAGTGATACGATTTGTAAACATTGTGTACTTCAATTGGTGCTTTTGTTTGACTGCCAATGAAAGGTCCTTGTTTAACACTCAGTTTTTATTAACATCTGCAGCTCAAAGAAAACAGGTAAGGGCAAGAGGCCCGGAAAGGGAGGCAACCGTTACTGGAAGAGCATCGGTTTGGGCTTTAAAACTCCTCGCGAGGCTATTGAAGGTTCGTATCTGTTCTTGCAATCTTTCCTTTTCATGTAATGTGTGTGAAAAGGTGTAATAAATTATATGCATTTATTGTAATTGAGATGCCTCTCTGTTTTTGTCTGAATTGTGTGTATGAGCAAAGAAACTTTAGTAAGCTGTAATGAAAGCATGTCAAAAAACAAGGAGTCTTTAGTAGTACTAGTATTGTACCGTGCGAGCACAGATACAAATTTTCTTTTATGATAACTTGATAAGTTGATTAGAGATAACTTTTTCATTATGTGGCCCTCTAGTAAGGTGTAAACACGTTTTCTGAAATAAAACGTAAAAGAAATTACCATTTACCTAAAGATACCAGAAGGTAAACTGGAGGAAGTAAAATTTGTTTAGATATACTAATGCCCATAGATCTTCTGATTCCTATCAATTGCGGTTCTATAGTTAATGTAATAGGTGTAAAACAACACTAAAGCAAACCTTAATTGGTCTGATACTATATTTTATGAGGTTCATATTTGAACTCTTGGCAGATACGTAGTATATTTCAGTAGGACTCCGGTTTTTTGGTTTATTCATAAGTTAGTAAAGGCGTATTTTTCTTCTTCTTATTAGTAACTCTATCATTAATGGAATACGTCGTTTCTTACATAAAATCGTTTCATGTTAATAATCTCAATACTACGTATATTTTAGCAGCGCAGGTTTTAGTAATTTGGGTATACATCGTTCTAAAATCTTTATATCTCAGCTAATTTGGCATGATATTTTATTAATAGAGCCTATATATTTTCGCTTTTACTCAGAAATTATTATTTTGCAATTATTGACCTATTTTATCATAAGAACAGTTATTTAAATGTACGTAGTATATTTTATGTGTTCTATATTACATGGTCACCTAATTTAGTTAGACTTTTAATTCATTCATTTCATTTTCTTAACCGCTTTGGTGTTTTATGCTGATTGAAATGAGCAAAAGAGAATATTGAATCAGGAAAGGCAGCAAATTTTAAAAAATTTTAAAAACTTCTACATAATCAAATTAAAATAACGCGTACATCTTGAATGCTTTAGGAATTTCTATTATTTCAAGTTAAACTTTCAGAAGTAGAAAAATTAACTTTCAATCACTCCAGTAAGTCATTTTTTAATCAAACAGAAAGTAGGTTATCTAACCCATAAAAAATATTAATGGGTACAATTCACATTGAAAACATGCAAAGTACATCATACATGATATCAAACTGTTTCCAAACATGAAACACCTTTTCATACATGTACCAGGCATGCATGTATATGATCTCATCAATTTTACCCGCCTAGTTCTGTATTTATGCATCTTCATGATTTTGACAAACATCTTTCTTTCTCATACTCGGCGCCCTACAAAAAAATAACACGTTCAAAAACATCTTACATGATTATATTCTAATTTTTGAAGTAAAAAGAATATAGCACCTACTGGGACCATTTGCCCAGAAGTCTGAAGCTTTATCAGTAGTAGTTTACCATGGTGGAAGATCGAAGCAACTTTGCATAACTAATGCACACCAAAATGTATTATACTATGTACATAGCATTGTAGTGTAAGGCCAATGTATACAGTCTTCCAGCAGGTTTTTTTTGACAAAATATGCGCTAGCAGTTGATCGATCATATCAATACAGTATACGGTTAATATATAGAGATTTCTGGCAGTTTTTTGGCATAATATGCGCTAGCAGTTGATCGATTGAGGTTATCAGTTATTTAATACGAGTATATGACTAAAACTGAATTTAGCATGTGATGCGCACATGTTTGAAAGAGCAGGAACAGTTATATTCAGCCGGTTTCGTTGTTATATATAAAGATTTTTGCAATGCGAAGAAACTTGCAGAACTGAAATAATTCATAACTGAAGAAAGAATAACGTGTTTGCTGGTTCCACTTTATTTTTTACATCAGAAACAGCAAGTCGGTATTGTCGGTCTCAATTGGAAATATCATCAAAGACATCAACATATGCCTCAATTAGTTAGTTCCATTTCTCTCAAGTGTATTTGAAGTTGCATGTTAGATGTAATTCTTCATATATTTTAGTTTATCTATATTGCCATAAATATACATATCTAGAGCATTCTATGCAAATGATTGCTACATTGCTGTTCTCTAAATTGCTTATCCTATCTTCTGATAAACGAGATATCTTCATTACATTGTTTTGAACCAGTTTCAATCACCTTTGTTCTCTCTGCCAATCCCAGACATCATTTGACCTAGTTACAACTATGTTTATCATCTAATTATACGCATCAATCAATCCCTTCCATTATTACGTGTGATGACATGCATTGTAGTTAAGTCATTGTCCATTACTAGACAACTTGTATCTTTATCTTAAGAGTGTTACTGGTTTGCTTCTAATTATGTTACGCTTCTTTATGTAAGGTACATACATTGACAAGAAATGCCCTTTCACGGGAAATGTTTCTATTAGAGGTCGTATCCTTTCCGGTACTTGCCATAGTGCTAAGATGAACAGAACAATCATTGTTCGCCGTGACTACCTCCATTTTGTGAAGAAGTATCAGAGGCAAGACAATGTCAGCATCTACTGTTATTTGTCAGAGTAAAAATTAGTCAAATTTAATTTCTCTTTTGTTTTCAGGTATGAAAAAAGGCACTCAAATATTGCTGCTCACGTGTCACCATGCTTCCGTGTGAAAGAGGGTGACTACGTCACCATTGGTCAATGCAGGTGGCTATTAGAACCTCCTTAACTATTCCTTTTCCTCAATCTACTAGGTGTTTTATGTTGTTAAACATGCTAACTGTTGTTCACATGACAGACCATTATCCAAGACCGTTAGGTTCAATGTTTTGAAGGTGATTCCTGCTGGTTCTGCCAGTGGTGGAAAGAAGGCATTCACTGGACTGTGAAGTGTAGTTTCCTGTTAACTTTTAAAAGTTTTCTAAGTAATGATATTAGACTATGTTGCTTGCTGTTGAGTTCTTATTTGTTTGGTCTTTATCCTACATTTTGTACTCTAAATTATAGAATGCATTTAAATTTTGGCACTTACTTTCAGCAAACTTTGGAAGATCTAATTTTCCTCAACTTGCTTTGTTTTTCTTGATCAGTTTTTTTCTTCTGGAGTTTGTATTGGCCTAGAAAAATGCGCTTTTGGTTCATTTAATATTACTGAAATAATTTCTGTTTCTTGTCCCTTCTGATGGAATATTCGAATAGTCATCTGTGGCTTGATCATTAGGGAATCGAAATCAAGCGAGTTTTATTTCAAAGTCTGAATACCTGATCACAAATATATTTGTTGGATTGCATTTTAAATATTTTATTACTCCCTCCGTTCCCAAAAATACTTCCCACTTTCATTTTTGGGCCGTTCCCAAAAATTCTTCCCATTTTCCCTTTGTGGACAATTTGTGTGGCTCACATTCATTTTACCTTTTTCTCACACAACCACAACCACACATTTCCACCTTATTCCACTTTCTTAATAGGCGTGCCAATTCAAACCGGGAAGAATTTTTAGGAACGGAGGGAGTATGAAACATGTTTAAAAGTTTTCCTTAAACTTGTTACAAATAATTTATATTCCGTATTAAAATAAAACAGCATCAGATTGAGAACTAAAGCATTGCGATATGTGCAAAATAAATTCTTGTGTTAACTAGAATTCTAGAAATCGAAGCCTCGGAGCACTAAAGTTTTGTACTCCATTGGCTAGTGCTGGACTCGGGCCCGGTTCGGGCCTGGGCTTGGCCTGGCCTCGGGCCAGGAAAGGGAGGCCCGAGCCCGAACCGCCGGTGGCCGGTTCCGGTCCTGGTTCCGGGCCAAACCGGGCCGGGCCGGGCCGGCCCAATTAATTTTTTTTTGTTCTCCTATTTAATCCCCTACCCCTCCCCCTCAACCCCAAACCATCCCAAACCACCTCAAATGGCCCAAAATACCTAATCCAACATAAAACTTAAAAAAATATCAAAAAAAAAAAATTAAAATCCGGCCCGGACCGGGCCCGAACCGGCCGGTCCGGTTCACCAAAACCTGGGCCCGAGCCTGAACCGCCCAGCAGCCGGGCCGGGCCGAACCGAACCGGTGGATCCACCGGGCCCCGGGCCGGGCCGGGCCAAACAGTAACCGGGCCGGGTCGCCCGGCCCGAGTCCAGCACTATCCATTGCCTTTGGCCCAGGGATGGACTTGGGCTAGGTGGCCCAACCCGGAACCGGCCTGAACCGGCATTGTTTCGGTCCGGCCTGGTTACCCGGTCAGTGACCGGTTCGGGTAGGCCCGATCCGCTGGGGTTCCGATCTGGCCCCTCAAAACGTGAACCGGCCCGGCCGGTTCGGGCCCGGTCCGGGCCATTTTATTTATTTTTCTTTTTTTTATTGGAATTTTTTTAAGTTTTTGGGTTGTGCGGGTGTCATTTGAAAAGGCAAAAAGGCAAAAAAAAAAAAATGAGCCAAGGCCGGCCCGACCCGGACCCGGTGGTTACCCGGGCCGGTTCCGGGCCACCCCTTTCCTGAACCAATGCCCGGCCGGGCCCAGGCCCTGGCCTGAACCAGGCTCGAACCGGCCATGGTCAATGCCTATTTTGGCCTTTGGGAAAAGCAAGTTTGTTTATTATAGGTACACTCAAAAGTCAAAAAGGGCTTCATGCATTTCGATATGTACAAAATAATTTCTGGCAAGGAATTATTTATACGAATTATCATAGGAATTATTAAACTAATGAATCAAATAATTAAACTAATAAAGTAAATATGAAATAATCATATACTTTTAGTTCTTAAGTCCCGGTGAATGAGTGAATCCATCTAGAGCATCCACATTCCACAATGTTGATTATTTTGAATTCCTCTCCTTCACATCATGATGTCTGTATCCATAATATTTTGCTGTATCCATAATATTTTGCTGTCCAATTTCAATAATTTTCTTAACCGTGTCAATTGTTGGACAAGATGCTCACTCTCATAGGTTTTCACTTGAAGACTTGAAGTGCTCTTTACTTCTTTCGTTAGATTCCAAATCAGAGAAGCTCAAATTTGCTATCCACATGTACTCCCCCCCCCCCCACACACACACACACTTTGCCTCCAGTCCTCCACCCCTTGCCTTATTAACGGTGTCAACTTTGCACAAATATACTCTCTCCCATTGCTTCCTTGAATTGCTTGGGGTCTTCAAATTCTCGCCCTAAAAATAATGAAGTATTCTTCAAATCACCCCCCCCCTTTTTTTAACACATTCTCTTCCCTTTTATTTCTTATCTTAACAGTTAACAATCACTCCTTCCTAGGTAATACTACCTCCATCTCTTTTTATTTAGCCATCTTTGACTTTTCCAGTCAAAGATGATAAACTTTGATCCATTATTTTAACTAATATATTTATGTGAAACTCAATAAATTTATACTTTTATGATAGTACTTTTAACAAAGAACATTTTTGTATCATTTTCATATTATGAATATTACCGTGTAAAAATATATAATTGGTCAAAGTTGGGCATTATTGACTTGAAAAATAGTGTTTGGCTAAATAAAAAGGGTCGGAGGGAGAACAAATTTCAGAACAATTTGTGTGATCACTTTCTGCGTTGTTCAAGGGCTCTCTGTGGTCATGCTTTCAAGCATTTTTCATCGCTTCTTGTAACCACCATGCCGCAACACTTCTGCGTAGTTTAGTTCTTCAAGTCTATCTTTTCAAGCATTTTTCATCGCTTCATGCAGCTCATCATCACCACATTCATAAACATTCATTAACATCAGCATTTTTTAGACTTTTAGTTCTATAATCCCACGTAGCTCATTGCACTCCCTCTCTGCTATATAGCTTTCAAGATTCACCATTTTCATCATGTTCTAGGAACAATTGCATAAATGTCATTTCATTTCATTCCCATGCCGGCATGAGGTATGATCATAGGTGGTTTGTGAAGGATACTCACCGCTTCTTTGCAATGAAGTATAATACGAACAAAACACTAAACCTAACATAGGACTCACACGCTACACAGAGGCAGAGTACGAAGGAAATATGTTATAAGGATATACACTAGTAAGCCAATACAATATTTGATTCAATATGCCTTATCAACCCATCATTTTTACTTGTATTATGTGAAACTCTAACTAGAAAACAAGTCGTGACAATCCTAACTAGAATGGCTTCCAACAACATGCAACACTAGACGAAAGAATTAAGAGGTCATAAGATCATACCACTCTCTGGGACACCAGGTGGTGGAAGTGGGAGGTTTCTTGGAGGCCATATATTACTATATGCTTTCTTGTCAAATCTCCGTTCTCCAATTTTTCTGTAGGTCAACTTCCCCAGATACACATGCTCTCATTGTCAAATTCTATCATTGAAGTTTGAATATTCATCATATATATAGAAATGCGGAGTTTGAAGGGTTACCTCCATATCATAGTCGATCACATCCATGATGACTATCCCCATGATGACTCTAATTGAGATTTTCATCTCCTCTTGCTCCCCCATTACCGAAAGAGCCCAAACTCTAAATGGAGATATAACTTATTATTATACTGTAAGTAGGTTGATAAACTAAACTATGATTTTTTAGAAGAATCACACAACAAAAGTTCTTTAGTGGGTTAGCCTCTAAAAAAACTTTCCCCTATTAGAACGGATTTTAATAACATTTTTTATCCGATCATTCCATGACCAGACTTTTTCTTTGTTTGAAGGTCATGTTTGACTTTTGTTTCCTAGTACTCTCATACGCGATTTGATTAATAATAAGTTGAACTTTTTGTTTGCAAACAAATAAAAAATAATTTAGATGATTGGACCTTATTGATTATGTATGATTGCGTCGTTTCCCCCTTAAAATGAAATATTTTATCAAACTAGCTATTGAGATCGATCGGGACCAGCCGGTTTCGGTCCTGACTCTCCTATAGTGGGACCCAGAACCCTGCTACTTTGGGTTGTACTAGATTCGGTTCCGGACTGGGACCGTACTTTCGATCTTTTGGTCGGTCACGGAACCAAGTGAAAAATTTTTATGAACATGTTTTCAGATTTGAAAATGGAAAACTAAAAAATGAAAAACAAAAAATTGGAAAACGGAAAACATAAATAGAAAACTGGAAAATGTCTCTGTTAGTAAACATGCCCGAGACTTTTCACTTGGACTAGTTTCAATCTCAATTTAGACTTACACAAGTCATACTGTACCGGACTTACACAAATTATATCAGACCAGACTTAATAGTGTAGGGGTAAATCACGTAGGGGGTGATAATTTGAGTACTTGGATTGCTTAAGGATCGTGTAAGTTCATTTTCCGAATTGATATTTCTCCCCTATGCCTGGGTTACAAGAAATTCAATCTAGGATAATCCTTAAGGACACTCTAGAACTTAGGCACAAGAACTAGAGCCAAACTAGTCGAGTATATGGATTGTTATCTTTAATTTGAGTGCCAAAGTGATGAAGATATGTTGGATATGTTTCCTCTATCTCCTCTGTATGAAATATGGTGGTATATATCCATATTCATCGTCCTAGGCAGTAGTAACACGATTAAGAATAACCGCAACAGTTTTTGGGAAACTACTGGAAACTGCCTAACCGTTCTAGAACTCGGTCTAGAACCACAGAGCTGGTCTACTGAAAGTTATACCTCGAGTTCTACCTCGAGTACCACTAACTTAGACACTTTGGAACTAAACTAGTTCTTATATACAAGTGTGCACTCCACACCTACTAACTTGTATAAGATCATAATTCTAATTCCCATTGGCACTCATGTCATTTCCAATTACACAAAACGGCCGGTGACACTAAAATCACCAACAATCCTCCCCCATTTTAGTGTAACCCATGAAATGACATAACAAAGTTTACAAACCAAAACTTGCACATAAATGGAAATGTCGATACGATTGAATTTCCATCTTAGTATTTTACACATTCAAAATATTCGAGAATCGGGGTGTCCTACAGATTGAACCCTTCAACCCATTTGAATACCTCAAGATAAAATACATACAAGTTTCAATACTCAACTAGAATACAAACTTGACACAATTATAAAGCCGTGTGTCCTAATCCCATTCATGATCGTATAAAAGTCAAGTCCCAAGCTTTTTGAAGTGCGGCCACACTTCACGATCATATAGGTAATTCCTTTACTCGTTTACCTGCTTACACTTTATCAAAGGAATTATTAAGAAATAAATTCAGCCTCCCTACTACAGGTCCGAACACACACCTTGGGATGATTTTCATCGTGTGTTCCAATCC